CACGCGTACGGCACTCGCTCGAGCACATGCACGGCTATAGGCTCGGGCCGAAATGTACCACACTTATACGCACGGCCACAACACATGAACTTAGCAACGTGCACGGCAATGAACTAGGGCTTGGAAAATAAATCTGAACCCAAGGCTAAACTCGTGATTAAGTTAAACTAATCACTTAATTATGTTTAATTATCTAATTAAACATAATGCTAAATTACCAAAATCATTTCGAACGTGAACGGTACGTCGAAAATAGTTCCGGTAATTCTGACTGAAATAACTGAAATAATTAACTCCGAAAAAAATAAAATCGGAACTGAAATATTATTATACTGATAAAAGTTGGGATATTACAATCCTCCCTCCTTACAAAATTTCTGTCCTCGGAAATTCTGAACATGACTGAAAATACATGAAAACACAAACATGAAAATACACTAAAACTGAAAATCTGGAAAACGAGCGCGAATATCGGACTCCTCCTCCCAAGTAGCTCCGTGGCGATCCCACTGAATACGCACGAGGGGAATATCTCACTTCCGGAGCCGACGAACTTGTCGGTCCAGAACAGCTACTTGCCGCTCCTCGTACGAAAGATCTGACTTAATCTGAATATCTGAATGAGGGATAACATGATCGGGATCGCACACGTACTTACGCAACATCGATGCGTGGAAAACATTATGAATGCCTGATAACTCGGGAGGTAAAGCTAAACGATACGCGACCTCGCCTACTCGTTCGAGAACCTCGAACGGGCCGATGAATCGAGGGTGCAACTTCCCTCTCTTTCCGAATCGCACAACTCCGCGAAACGGACGAACTCTGAGAAAGGCTGGCTCGCCAACCTCGAACTGAATGTCTCGCCGATGATGATCAGCGGAAGATTTCTGACGGCTCTGAGCCGTCATGAGCCTCTGGCGGATCAACTCAACTAGATCCGCTGTCTCCTCGATCAACTGGGGACCGAGTACTCGTCGCTCTCCGACGTCGTCCCAATAGAGAGGGGAACGACACTTGCGACCGTAAAGTGCCTCGTAAGGAGCCATCTGAATGGACGAATGATAACTGTTGTTATACGCGAACTCTGCGTACGGCAACAACGACTCCCACTTGGCACCCCTGTCAACAACCAAAGCGCGAAGCATATCCTCAAGGGTTTGAATAGTCCGCTCTGACTGACCGTCCGTCTCCGGATGGTAGGCTGAACTGAACTCAAGCTTCGTGCCCATCGCCTCATGCAAGCTGTGCCAGAATCGGCTAACGAATCTGGGATCTCTGTCTGAAACAATCGTGACGGGCACTCCATGGAGTCGAAAGATCCCACGTGTAACACCCCGCTGACTGATATACCAGAGTACGCGGTTTTTCGCAAATATTCTG